TTTTGGTTTTTTGAGACAGGGTCTCATTATGTAGTTGAGACTGACCTGGAACTCACTATGTAGTCCAGGCTGGTCTCGAACTCATAGTGATCCTCCTGCCTCAGCCTCCTGAGTGCTGGGATTACAGAAGTGAGCCACCATGCCCGGCTAACGTGCTATTTTTTAAGGGTCACTGAATCATGGGAGAAACCCAAGGAGCATCCTATAATCCCAAAACAATGAGGAACAGAGTCTGTCACCCCCAAGGTCAGGACCAATATCAACAGGATGCTGGCCCTAAGGAGGAAAGAGTGTGGACCTAGGATATCTGAAGGTGCTTTCACTGGCTTTGCTTCTCCACACAGGCCAGACTGGGCCGGGTGTCACTGGGAAGTGTGCTCAGCAAGTTGTGATGACTCCAATCAAGTGGGCCAGCTTTAGCAGGGATCCGAAGAAAATAGCAAAAAACAAAGATATTAAGGGCTATTTCTTTAGAATATCAATTAGCCTCCTGGGATGGGCTAAACTTTAGGTACTATTGTCGGTTTAAACATACAAAGCAATCCTGGCTTCCTATGGCCGAGGGAAAATGGCAGTTAGCAGCCTACCGTTACCAGCTCCTCCTCTCTCAGAACACTGGGAGGTGGAAGCAAAGGGCACCAGCAGGCTATGCCCCTTCAGTCAGTTCCTTCCTACATGGCCTCGTCCTTCCTCCTGGTTCAAGACTGTCACAGCCTCAGCTTGCGTTGAGAGAAGGGATCAGGAGACAGAGGACAAGGAGAGAGGGGACCCAGATTCTAAGCCCAGCCCCCTTCTCTTCCTGACTTTTGACTTTTGGCAAATTATTTAACCTCTCTAACAGGGCTACCAGGTGCACTGCAAAAGTAGACCAGTTCCAGGAGCATGGTTTCTATTGTAATCGACATGGATGTGTAGATTCATTGAGAGAATTTTCTAACACATGGTAGCCAAGCATTGAAGGGATGCCTTTTTTTAAATTCATTCAAAGAAATTACAAGGCTATCATTGGCCTTGGATTCAATTCTGAGCCTAATCTTTAAAATGGAGACAACATACATACAGAGTTGGCCAGAGATCCGACCAAAATAGTGGGTGGAAAGCTAATATGGTAGGAAGGCTGTTTCCCAAAGCTCTGTTTGTGATTACCCAGCTGTGTGTTATTGACATGGCAAAGGTGAATCAAGTTCTAATCTACATTATTTATCTTTAAAAACAGAAGCAAAAAGGGCCAGGGAGTTCGCTCAGTGGTTTCACTGCCTGCTTTGCAAACACAAGGTCCCAAGTTCAATCCCCAGTACCAAAAAATAAAGAAGAGAAGCAAAGGTCAATGTTCAAATAGCAAATAGCTTCTCACTCAAAACATGTCCCGATCAATAAGGTAACTTTGTACTCCTCAAAAGTGTTAAAAGAATATTCCAGTTTCTGGGAGCTGCTTCACTGAGTAAACCAATTAAGTACATTAAGTTGGCTATAAAATATTTAAGTCTTCTCTGCCTGAGTCTTCAGATAAAAGAAGGAAGTGGATAAGCCCCACCGCAATCCTCACCCCACCACTAACCCCTAGAAATTGGGTTTGTGCCTGTGGACAATCTGAGATAGGGTAAGGAGGAATGGAAAGTTGTAAAATTTTAAAAGTCAGCCCACAGAAGTCACCCTGCAATGTAATGTGCATTCGAGAAATCACTGTTTTCAGGAAAACAGCCCACATAGCACCTCTTTGATTCCTGTCACCATAAAGATTCTGCTATACATAGTTCAGATCAGTGACACAAATAATGTCAGAGAATATTGATTTGGCTTGGAAAAGAGAAATGAATAGGGCTGGGGATTTAGCTCAGTGGTTCCATCGCCTGCCTGGCAAGCACAAAGTCCTGAGTTTGATACCCAGTACAAAAAAAAAAAAAAAGAGGAATGAATAGGCAGCAGCTTTGGCTGTCTAATTTGGTCTGTTTTGAGATAATGCTTAGTCTGTCCTCCCTGTACAAACTATACTTAGGTTACCCAAATAATTGATTAGGGACTGCTTCTCCAGCAAAACTGATGAAAATCATTTAAAACCAAAAAAATGTGAGCCAGTTGCAGTGGTGCATGCCTGTAATCCTACCACTCAGAAAGCTGAGGCAGGAGGATTGCCTGGAATCGGAGGCTAACCTGGGCTACATAGTGAGTTCGAGACCAGCCTGAACTACAAAGTGACACTCTGTCAAAAAAAAAAAAAAAAAAAAAAAAAAAAAAAAAAAAAAAAAAGAAGAAGAAGAGAGAGAGAAAAGAAACACAACAAAAGTGCTTAAGGTCCCTGAGAGGGACTAGAGTACAGCTCAGTGGTGAGCAACTGCCTACCACGTACAAGGTCCTGGATTCCATCCCTAGCGCCACAAAAAATTAAAATAAATAAAGTACCTGGGAATGGTCATAAGAACAAACAACAAATGAAAAAACGCAAAAACTTAGGAAGAACTCAGAGACTACAGTATGTGAACCAAAGCCCAGGCCCTCTCTATGCCCCCATCACAGTGAGACTGAAACCATACTCCAGCCTGGTGAACACAAGGTCCAAGTAGGAGGGACAGGGTGTCAGCCTTGCTCAGCCTTCCCTGACTACCTGTGCCAAGGCTAATTCCCAGGTGAGCAGAGCCAATATAAATAGGGTTTCCTTTCCTCTCCCCAGCTCCCATTGTGGAAGGAGGCTCTAAGTTGGGCATGGCACCCCTGAGAATACTGGGGTGCTGGCTACGGGACAGGGTTCCACACGAAGAGAGGCAAGCCAAGGAGACCAGTGACTCCTTCCCTAACCCCATCTAGCAGGAACTCAGCTCCTAGTACGGTTGTCACTCGGAGAGAAGCACATCCAGAGCCTTGGCTCAGTGACTTCCCCAAGCACAGGTCAGAGAAGAAACAAATCTGGGAAACTCAAATATGTGAAAGTGAAAATCTGAGCAACATAAATAGTCAACAGGTGAAAAAAACAATCAAAACAAAAATGAGAATAATCTTTGAGATGAATTAAAATGAAGACCAAGCATATCAAAATTTATAGGATACAGCTAAAATAGCACAAAGAAACATAGCTGTAAATATAAATGCCTAAATTAAAAAAGAAGGAAGACCTCAAATCAACAGCCTATCTTCTATCTGAAGATATGGGGGGAGGTAGCTAAAGCAAATAGAATGAAGGATATTATAAAGGAAAGAGTAAAAACTAATGAAATAGAAACATTTTAAAAACAATTAAAACAAAGATAATTGTTTAAAAAGTTTAACAAAATTAACAAACTTTTATCTAGTCAGATAAGAAAAAAATAAAAAAACTCCCATTTCTAGAACCAGAAATAAAGGGGAAGGCATTATCCACCTCACAGAAACAAAAAGGATTAGAAGAAATACTACAGATTGGGGCCGGGGATTTAGCTCAGTGGCTCCACCGCCTGCCTTGCAAGCACAAGGACACCAGTTCGATCCCCGGTAAAAACAACAAAAAAAGAAATACTACAAATAATTATATGCTAATAAAGGACAGATTAGATAAAATGGACAAATTTCTAGAAACACATAAACTACAAAAACTGATTCAAGAAAACAGATAATCTGAATAGACATAACAATAAAAAGAATTAGTAATCAAAAAACTACTCACGAAGAAAAGCCCAGCTCTAGATTGCTTCACTTATATATTCCACCAACATTTAAAGAATGGTCATAAAAGCAAACTCTCTTAGCAGGGCGTGATGGCACATGCCTGTAATCCCAGCCCTCGGGAGGCTGCGGCAAGAGGATCACTGTGAGATCGAGACCAGCCTGGGCTACATAGTGAGCTCCAGGTCAGTCTCAACTACATAGTGAGACCCTGTCTCAAAAAACCAAAACAAAAAGCAAACTCTTTGCAAGCACTTCCAAAAACATAGACAAGAACAGAGCCAGGAGTGGTGGTGCATGCCTATAATCCCAGCACTTGGGAGGTTGAGGGAAGAGGATCGCTATGAATTCGAGACCAGCCTGGTGTTTTCCAGGTCAGTCTCAATTACATAGTGAGACCCCCGTCTCAAAGAAAAACAAAAAACAAAAAAAACTTCCCAACTCATTGTATGAGTCCCTGATACCAAAACCAAAGATGTCACAAGAAAATTATATACCAATATCTCATAATGTGAATATAAAAAATTCTAGCAAGCTGAATCCAACAACATGTAAAAAGCTGAATCCAACATGTTTAAGTAAAATGTATCCCAGGATCCCAGGAACATAGTTTGGCTTAACATCCAAAAAGCAATTACTATTATATAAATAAAATAAAGAAATAATAACTACACCACATGATCACTACAATATGACACTACAATAGACACAGAAAGAGCACTTACAAAATTTAATGTCCTTTCAAGAGAGAAAGAAAGAAAGAGATAGAGACAGAGAGAGAGAGGGAGAAAGGAAGAAAGGAAATGACAGAGTGGTGAGCAACCACAATGGAGTTTCTTTGAGATTTGGAACCTGAAACAGAAAAATAACAACTTGGGGAAGTTAAAAACAGAAGTTGATCCCCAGGAACCAGGAAGGATTTGACAGGAAAAACTAAAACCTACAGATAAATTGAAGAGACAGAATGCAATGCAGAGGAAGAGACAGTGTGCTCTTTCTCCCCAGCTCCAGGTTCATGGCTTGCAGGAAAGAGAGAAAAGAAAAAAAAAAAAAAAACCCCACATAGTGAAAGCTGCAGGCTCCACAGAGCCTCAGGGAGAAATGCAGCAGTGGAACAGACCAGTTGCTGCCATGGACAGCACAAGATTCTGCTCCCACATCAGTCCTCCAACAGGCAACAGCTGGTGAGCAACTCCAGCAAGCGCCCACCATATCCCTAGAGAGGGTGCTTGGTCAGACACCATTCCAGCAAAGGGTTATTTGAACGTGGGACTCACAGCAACCATGGGACAGCTTCTCTTCAGGGCTCCCAGTGTTACATCTCCACAGTGACTGGGCGAGAGACAGCCATGGGAGACAGCCACAGTCAGGGAACAGGCTGCAAAGAGACCCCCAGAGGGGTTTTAGCTAAAGGACACAGGCCCACCCCCCCCCACCCCCGCACAGCCAGAGGCCCAGCCTAACTTGAGTTGCCATGGATTTGAAAGCTGCAGTGTTGGTGCCCTCACCCTACTCCTACTGGCTACGGGTACCTGCATCCAACACGGACCTGGCATCTGACTACCCTCTTTATCTATCAATGTGAGCAGAGACATGTCTCAACTCAGACCCTGCTCCAAAACTGTAGATCCCAGGAAAACAATGTGTTCAAAATCAGAGAAAATTATTTTTGTGTAAATGAGTTTTGTTTTTCTTATTTGCTTTCCTCTCTTGCTTTTTCTTCTCTTCTTGTTTGTTTTTCCTTCTCTTCTTGTTTGTTTCAGTTTGTTATTCATTTTCTTTTGTCCTTTTTCCTTGATTCTTATCTATTTTTCTTTCTTTCTTCTCTTCTAATTTTTCTCCCCCTTTTTCTTATCTTTACTCCCTGTACAATTTCTTTTCCTTCCTCTTTTTCTTTTGTCTTCTATTTATCATCAGTTTTTTCTGTTACCTTTACCTAATTCTATAAACATCCTTCTACTCATGGGATTTTTGTTTGTTTTTGTTTTTTGAGACAGAATGTCACTATGTAGTTCAGGATGACCTTGAACTCACTATGTCGCCCAGACTGGCCTCAAACTCTTCTGAGATAATAGGTGTACACCACCACACACACCTCCCAGTAGGATCCTTCGTACCACTTCATTCTCCTCCTTCTCATATCATAATTGAAGGTTTCAAATTTTTCTTCTTGCATCCCACCATTCCCCACCCCCTATATCACTAATAGTATAACCATAAAGCTTTATTAATCTTCAGATGGTTAA